AGGAAGAGGATTAAACTGAGTACTTTAGTTTAGTTTTTTTTTTATTATTGTTGTGAACTTTAAGTGGTACAATTATATTGTATTATTGTTTTGTTTTGTGTTATACTATTGAGACTATTACTTTTGTTTGTGTTTTATTTTGTTAGACACTGTTGTGATGTATTTATGTTATTGTGAGTAGTTATATTTTATTTTTGTGATAGTATTTGTGTTAACTGTGTTGTCTAGTGTATTTAGTTAGTTTGTGTTGAACTTAATCCTAAATCTTAGGAAGGTTTAGAATTTTACTAACTTTCACTTAAGAACTTCACGTTTAAAATTTTCAATTTACTACCAGGTATTTTCTTTATGTTACAGTTGTGAATGTCTGTTGCTATGTTTATTTGCTTTTATGTAATCCTCCACTGCATAGAAGTCTAATGAATCTCAATATGTTAAAGCTAAATTATAATTTGATCAATTAATTTTTCACTCATGAATTTTTTACTTGTATATTTAGGATATAAAAATTCTTAGAAGCATGTTATTTTTAGTTTTCATTTCTGCCTATATATATATATATATATATGATGCTTAAATGTTTTATCTTATTAAAAATTAAATATTGGGGGGAATGAAAAATTTTCTAAAACTTGAAGTTTATTTGTTCTCAAATGTACTACAAATAAATTTGATTTTAATTTGAAAAAAAAATTATTATGTTTATGAAGTTATATTAGGGAAGTAAAATTTTGAATATAGAATTGAGTAAGAGAATTTAGTTTAAACCTATACTAATGAAGAAAAACTTAAAGTTAAAAACTTTTTAGTGTAGAAATGATAACTATAGTGTAACTATCTTTAGTAGGAGAAATTGTATTTTTGAAAAAATTAGAAGAATTAAACTTTTATTTTCAATACTTAAATTTCTTTTATTAAACATAATTTTCAAAACTATTATTATATTTTTAAATAAAAGATTTATATCAAAACTTTGATTTAGGAAAGAAGGAGTGAAATTCAAAATTATTAAAGGTCTATCCTGATATAGTAATCCTCACCTGAAATAAAATAAAAAAAAGTTGAAAAAGGGAGGAGAAGCTTGAGGATTTGTGTGTAATAAAAAATTGGTTCCACATCTAATCTTTTTAAAGTATAAGACTTGAGAAACTCTTAAGCTTAAGGATATAATATAGTAAGTATAATTATGCTTAATAAAAACTTTTAAGTGGAGAAGATAGAATGCCTAGTCTATATTTGAAAAATTTATAATATTTCTGAACTAGATAGAAACTCATATTTTCAAACTTCATTACATTAAAAACTTTTAAACTCTAAATTGGTCTCATGTACTATTATTTTTTCTAAATTAAACTATTATATTTCTAGATCAAAATTTTAGAATATCCTAAAAAAACTCATTTACATAATCTACTTAATTTGGTTTTGAAATATTGGAGTGTCACTTGAGGACACATAACATTTTAAGTTTGGGGGATTTGGAAACACCTAAAATATATAGTCTTTATGTACACATTTTTATACCTATTTTTGAGATATTATACCTATTTTTGAGATATTGTTCTTTAATGGAAAATATTTGTGTGTTTTTCTTTTAGGTACATTCAAATTGATGAAAAGTGGTGAAAGGATGAAAAATGATCAAATTTGGAGCAAAAATGAAGAATATGTGCAAAAGAACTGTGGCGCCTAACTGGCACTTACGCGCTAGTAAAACCGAGAAGGCCACGCCTAAGTGCCCAATACCTCGCACTTAAGCGCCAGAAGTAGTTACTTGGTGATTCAATGAATTTGGAAAAATTTTTGAAGAGATGTTTTAAACAACCCTTGGTGAAAACGTGAAAAATAATTAATGAACACAAAAATAAATTCAATTGGCTTTTGAAAGGAGGCAACTCTTAAGGAGGCAACTCTTGGAAGATTTGGAAGATTTATTGAATATGGACACATTTTAAAGAGACACCAAGGCACCTTTTAGAAAATTATAAAAGAAGGAATTGCATTGGATGGAAGGCCCCCCTTGGAGAGACTCCTTCCAGCCCCTTTAGACTCCCCTACGATTTCTTCCACATGCCGCCCCTTTTCTTTTTATTTTGAGTTGTAGTTTATAATGTAGAGAAGTAAGATATTCAAAGGAACTTCAAGAGTTTGGTGGAGAGAATTTGAGATAAGTTTTTATCTTTGTGATGACATTTGGTTTTAATTTAGACTTTATGTTTGTTTGTATGATTTCTACTTTCAAACTTAAGTGTGGTTGTGTTTTCTCCTTGAAATTTGAGTAGTTTTTTTTATCTTTTTTCCTTAAAATGATAAGTGATTAAGTATTGGATAGAAATTGCGTGAAATAATAATCTTTAGTATTGGAATAAGTTGTGATGATTTTAAGCCTTGTACTTCATTTATTTCTTGATTTGGCTTATTAAGATGTTAATATCTATTGTGAGAATATGTAAGAACCGAGATGATATTGTCTCAATCAACTAATGGTAAGAATCAAACGATATTGTATGGATGACAATGTAATTCATATGATTGAGTACAAATAAATAGAGAAATAAACTTTGAATGGTGTAGAATTAGAGGACTTTAGAGTGACAGGTTAAAACCCCTAATTTAATTTATAGTTTTAGGTTTTGATATGAGATGTTAACCCCCAGGTGAAGGAAGAAGTGAAAAATCTAGAGTGAGAGCTAGTATCTTCCCTACCCAACCCGTCTTCAAGACTATTCAAACTTTAAATTAACCAATGTTTGTTATAGCATCTCTAGTAAGGATAAAAAATATTATTGTTCCTATTTGTCACAAAACAATTTAAATACTTCCATAACAGAATTTTTATACTTGTTACTGATATTTTATTTATATTGCATTCATCTTACATATTTATTTTATTTATATTGCATTCATCTTACAAATATCTAGTTAAGTTTAGTTAGTTGTTTACTTTACTTTCAATTATCAAAAATTACAAAAAAAATTGAATTTTCATTTTTATTATAGCATCTAAAGTTTAAGTAAGAATTTTTTGCTAAGTATAATTTGTTATCTAATTTTTTTTATTGTTAGTTGAATATTGTATTTATTTTTCTGTGTGTTCGATATTCGGGGCTTAATCAAAAAGTCCTATATTACTTGATAATGATATGTATACTCGTGTAGTATCCCATATTTAAATATAATAATTATATTCTCATTTGCTTCAAAGTCAAGTTTTTGCCTAGCTGTTGTTAGTGATTAAGTTTTTTGCGCCGTCACAAAGTAAGAATTATAAGTAAAGAAAAATTAAGAATATAACCACATACATCGTATTGACATAAAAAAATTGGGATCAACTACTGCAGGGTACAAATTTTGCACTCCCAACATTTTCTTCTGAAAATGGAGTGACATATGCTCAAAGGCTCTCGTTCATCCCTTTCTTGACATGCCACAAGGCCTATGAATTCTTACAAGATTTTTGGGCGCTAGCTAACTACACCATGAACAACTTCTTGAATTCACCTAAGGAGGTGATAACTCTTGTCGGGAGGCCATTAAATTACCTAAGCGATAAATTTCTCAGCCTGATATAGAATAGCTGCACTACAGTGCGTAAGAGATTTTAAGAAGGTATACAACTGATTCGAAGGAAGCTATGTGGTTGGTTAGATCACCATGAACCTTGTAGGATTTCAAAGATGGAAATTTGAACTTCTTCGTAAGCTCAACGTCAAAGATTTACTGACATAATACATTCTCTGGTTGTCGATAGACCTCCACTGATCTAAATCTTGGTCTGACCTCGGTGTTGATCCTACACTCTCCTGGTATTAAAATTCTTCAATTCTTTCTATCCCCCTGAGTCATTCGCTAGCCTCGGGGTTTAGGTTCTTATTGAGGGTTTGGTTTTTGAGGAGCTTGCGCTCTTCGCTCTAATAGCATGCAAATCAATTCCATCATTTGACCAGACATCTGATCTAAGAGTTACAGAATTTATTGTTGCACAAAATTTCTCACTTACTCGTCGTTTGAGGTTCCTCTCTCATGAGTTCCCTCTCCGTGATGTGCTTTTCTTCTTGTTGATGACACAATTCTACGCTTAAAACACCTTTTAGGATTTTAAATCCAAATATGTCATGTGGATCACACCTAAGGTATAGAGTTGGATGAATGAGAGGAACAGAGAGAGAGAGAGAGTGAGAGAGATTAAAACGCAGTAACACAAGTTTGGAAAGTGTAATTCAGTAGTCCTTTATTGAAGAAATTACCCCCTAGTTATATGTTTTAGGGGTATCTAGTATGAAAATACACGTATGTCCTTATTTTAATAGGGACATTATAAGTTATTATGACATCTTCTCACATTTGTAACTGACTCCAGTGCCCTTTCATATCCATATCTAGTGTTAGCAAAGTTTCATGGGCTAATAATTTTGAAGTTAAGCATCTAATGACCCGTTAATCTTGTTGTTTGTTTGGTTGAAAACCCTTGCTTGTCCAACATACACTCGATCCATTGAAAGCTCATCAGTCAACCCCTCTCAATGAAATCATGGGTAGTGGCCCTCATGTTATAAGGGTAAACTTAGATTGCCAGACATATGATGTATTACCGTAATCTTACAGGTAGCTCTCATTGGACAAATTACCTTATTAGAGGATTAGAGAGGTATTGCACGGGGTGCCCTTTGGCCATCTTCGTAAAGAGTTTTCACAATCAATTGATGGAGCTAGTTACAAATGTCTGTCCTTTAGACTATGTAACACATATTCTTTGATTCGGTTGTTATATCGTTCGATCGGCTAATAATTTCGACAAAAAAAACAACGCTTCACATTTTAGTCTTTTAAATATTTTAATGGGGCCTTCGGGAGTTTATAAGTGAGAACTTTTAAATTTTCTCTAGATTTGTGCTGTCATCAATTTAGTAGTTAAAAAAAAACAAAAGAGGTTAATTTGTAAATATCAAAGTCTTGGATGGTCTGCATGTAATTATACCATTCTTGAAACGCAAGTATTCTCACAGTGCATGTGCAGTTCCGAGGGTTTTTGTGGGGGGTTTTCTGCTTTCGGAGGCGTAGCAGAGAAATTGCTGCTTTTGAAGCTCTAGTCCTGGAGAAACTGAGAAGTATTATCCTAACTAGATAGCCATATGAGGAATTGAGACAGAAATCAAGGTGGAAGTACGACACAGATCGCAACCTTTCTTCCCTTCATCCTCCTCCGTAACCCATGCTGAAACATCTGTCTTCCTCCTGTTTTCAAGGGAGATTACGGATCCTACACACTAGGTTCCCTGACGGCGCGGCCAATTGCGGGCTCGCGAAGAGACACTTATTACGATTTATTGGGTCTTTAAGGAGTTCTACTGGCGAAGCAACTTTTTTTCGGCAGACTGCTTTATTCAGCTCGGAGTCTGGGGAGGGAGATGGCGGCACGGATAAAGCGGTGTACGCTTCTTCCGAAGCAGATGCGGATGAGGCTAAGAGTTCGTCAGCCATAGTGCCAACGACTCCCCGGCCAGAAGATCACCTGACGGTTCGTGCCATTCTTTTTTGCTTAAATTGGCATGTTTAACCATAATGTTGTATGTGCTCTTTCTGATTCGAATTGTTTCTTTTCAACCTCTATGCAAGGTCCGTGTCTTGTTCAACCATGTTTGGATACTGCTTTTAGGGATGGTCCCTTGGCAATTTTACTCTGATGGTTTTACTTGAGGGATTTGATTTGTTGAGGGGATGTTTTTGTGGTGATTGTATTGGTTTACCTGTGATCTTTAATTTCTGCGTTGTAATTTATTAAAAATTATCTAAGTGTAATTACTGCATAGCCTTATTAAATAATGGTAGCTTTGATTCAGGCTAATTTTGCTGACTTTAGTTGTTACTCGGTTGAATTAATTTTTGTTTTCAATCTAGATAATTTTAATTCGTTTCTACAAAGTGGTAGCTTGCTTGTATTACAAGTTCCGTAGCGATCATGTCACGTTTCTTTTTCATGAACAGTATATTCCAATGGAATGTATGGATTGTTTCAGAAAAGATTAGAGTTTTTTTTTTCTTGGTTTGAACTATTCTAATTCTATTTACTTGGAAAGAACTTGATGAATTTCACACTCATGATTGATTTTTTGTCAACTTATAATGCATACCCTCATTAGAGTTTTCTGGAAACTCTGCAATATACTGGTTTAGTGCAGTCATATTTCTGAAGCATCAAATTCTTGGAATTGAATCAAAGACTGTTTAGCTTTACCGGAAATTTTTTATCTGTCATAGGTTTAGAATTTTAGTGCTTAAGAAAATTAGTTTGCCCTTCCATTATTATTTCTATTTATGTTCAATTTGCTAAAATTTTTTGTGTGCTTATATTTTTCTGGGCGTTAGCAGGTTATAGCTGTGCCACTTCCACACCGGCCACTTTTCCCTGGTTTTTACATGCCAGTCTCCATCAAGGTATGTAGATTGTCTTTTTTTAAGTAAATCAAAAATTGACGTTCAATGGATTAAAAATTGACTCTGAATCAGTTTACTGGTATGTTCCAACATGGTTCATTTTACTTCTCTGTGACATGAGATCATTGCATTTTTATCAAAGTATGAAAGCATTAGTGCATACCTGAAACATGATCCACACACACACACACGCGCGCACACACACACACATTTATTGTATTTGAAAGCAAGGTCTTTGTTTATTATATTGTACAGATTTAAATGCCATACAATAGCAATAGAGAATAAAGGGGCAGAAAATGATAATAAATGATTATAGTATTAGTATAAAATATGAATATATTTATAGACTCACACACACATGCGCATTAGTTTATTATTAAGATTATTGTCACTTTAGCATGAACCTGATGTGGATATGTGCTATCATTCATCATTAATACTATAGAGAGTCACTGTTTTGTGATTTAAACAAATTGGATTGTTTAAAGAGAGCACAATAAACATTAAGCATTCCTTCTGATTTATTCATATTTGATTTTCATTAGAATGCCAATTCAATATGATACAATCAAGCTGAACCTCGAACTGCCTCTTAAAAAGTTTACCTGCAGTCCAAAAAAGTGAGCAACACTAGAATTAACTGAAAACAGTAACTTGTGGACTTTTATGGTTAGTTTATCTCAAATGACATGTTTGAAAGAGCCAGAAACTGAGGCATATTGAGTAGTTATTTTGGACACTTTGTTGAATTCAGATCTTAATTCCGAACATTTCAAGGGGTTCAAAACCTGTTCAGTGCACCTTTTTGAAAAGTCCACTGCCATTTTAGAAGGATGGCCTATTCTTTATTTGCCCTTTTATTCTACTTAAGTTTGAAATCCTTAACACAAAATCATTATGTGATGATATTATGCCTAGAATGTGCTGCATGCTATGCCCATACAATAAATGCTCTTGATTTATAGTTTATTTGGCCTTAATAATGAAAAATTCTTCAGTGTGACTCTAATTTAACATCCAATATTTTTTGAATATAGAAGTTGCTTCGACCTCGTGATCACAAAACGTACATTTGAAAATTTCTCTTACTGTATAACTTACAAAGGTTGAACTATTACTTTAACGTACTAGTATAATTGCATGTGCTTTGAATGCAAGTGAATGAAATTTTAAAAACAATAATATTATGAGTATGTTAACTATTTTTTACTTATATTTTTTTAATGAAACGATCAAATGTTGAAGTTTATCATTATAAAAAATTGCAATAATTATTGTATCAACGAAAAATTTGAGTATTTATCATAAAATCATAATTGATAAAATAGATCTGCATAATTTTATAATTTGATATCAAAAATACATTTTTTTCTTTGTAGAATTAATAATCAAACTACATTTGTACTATGATCTATACAAAGAACTTGAAATCAATCTGATGATTTTCGCCCTTTTGATCTTTTGCGGAGAATATTTGTTGATGCTAAAGAATAGGTCCTCGATGAGGTCGAATTTGAGATGGGATTTGAGAAAATATTTAAAAGAAATGAAATATTATTTTTAGGCGTTTTGAGAGTACATGGAAAAGTTTTGGAGCAATGAGTTAAGATCAATTTTTATACAACGTGCCCAAGTCTTTTGAGGTCTAGCTCTGCCTTTCTCAACATAAGTCGAATTTAAAACATCCACTCTTCTAATCGGAGCATCAGATTATCGACGTTTAATGTGACCAAACCATCTAAGATGACTCTAATTTTGTTCGTCACTGAAGCTACACCAACCCTGCACAGATATATTCATTTCGCATTTTGTCTCTAAGTGTAAAGCCACTCATCAACCTAATCATTCTCACCTCGTCAACACTTAACTTAGTTTTATGCTTCTTTTTTAAAGGCCAACATTCAACGTCATTGCAGGTTTCACCACCATCTTATAAAATTTTCTTTTCAGTCTAAGCGGTACTTTTCTATCACACAATAGGCCTAAAGCATTCCTCTACCTCAACCAACCGACTTGAATTCTACTAATAATGTCCCCATCAATATCACCATCACTTTGAACAATATACCGAGATATTTAAAGGACCCGCACCTTTTAATAATTTGATCACCCATAGTTACATTTTCGTCACAAGGGCTGGTACTACTAAAATTACATTCCATGTATTCATTTTTAGGTCTACTCAAACGAAGACCTATAGACTCCAAGGTAGACATCCATAATTCAAGTTTTTTTTGAGTTTTTTCTCTCTTCTTATCCACGAGAATTATCCACGAGAAGGATATCAGGAAGGATATCAGCAGCAAAAAGCATGCACCAAGGTACATCCTCCTGTAAGTGTTCAGTAAGACCGTCCATAACTAAAGAAAAAAGATATGGGGCTTAAAGCCGATCCCTGATATAAACCAACATAAATAGGAAAATATTTGGTCAATCCTACTTATGTTCGAACACAAGTAACAATTCTTGTGTTTATATCTTTAATGACTTGAATATAAGTCATATTAACACATTTCTTCTCAATAACTCTCCAAAGGATATCTCTCGGAACCTTTTCGTATGTTTTTTCTAAATCAATAAAAATCATATGTAGATCCTCCTTATTATCGCTGAACTTCTCCATCAAACCTCTCAATAAATGTATAGTTTCCATAGTAGACCTGCTCGGCATAAATCCAAGTTGATTATGAGAAATCTTTGTAATATGTCTTAACGTATGTTCAATTAACCTCTCCCATAATTTTAAAGTATGACACATCAACTTAATTCCTCTATAATTTGCACTCTTGTGCATCCTCTTTATTCTTAAAGATGGGGACCAAAATACTCTTCCTCAGCTCCTCAGGTATCTGTTTAGTTTTTAAAATAATATTAAAGAGTTTAGTAAGCCAAAAAACTCCCAAATCTCCTCAATATTTCCACATTTCAATTGGGATATCATCAGGTCCTACAGACTTTTCACCCTTGATTTTCTTTAAAGCATCCTCAACTTCTTTTTCACTAATGCGACAAATTGAAGGTTTAGATTAGGATATGAATATGAAATAAAATTGGAATATTAAGGGCGACAATAGGAAATTGAAGGTTTAGATTTATTCATAAAAATTTAGATTAATATTTACTTTTTGAAGGACCGCAAGCTCTTTTTTAATAGTAGATATTTCAACTGCCGGTGCATAAAGTGCATGTTGATAGGATTTAAGAAAATGGATATATACAGATAAAACATGAGGACATTTAGTAAAACAAATTGAAGGGCAAACTTTGAATGTGTTTCGTAATGATATCATGTATTCTCCTGTTTGCTTTAAATTACGATCTCTCATTTAACAGATTTCTAGCCTAGTGGATGTAATGTCATGCATTTTGAAACACCACAAACTCGAGAGAAGTTCTGCTTTTTACTAGGCAAATTATTAAAAGTTAACTAGAGAAGCACTATGGATTCAAAAAATTTAATTCAAGAAAGCAAAGAAAATAAGCTCTTAGGTGAATGCACAATTGTTAAATGATTTCCTAGTCAACGTAAGAATTTATTAATCAATCTCTACTTGCAAGCTTTTCAAAGTGAAGGAGCCATTTACCATTAACCCCTACTATTAGCTTATTGTTATATAAAGTAATACTTTTAAAAATAAACAAATCTTGAAAAGAAAAGAAAAGTAGAGGAGCTATAGGAGAGCGAGCTTATTTAAAGAGGCTAATTGAGCAGATGGGACATAGAACTACTTCCTCGAGATAAACATCAAAGCAAAATGATCATTCAAAATAAGTTAGGAGACTCGTATATTTTTGGCTTGCCAGAACTGACATGCAGGGCAAAACAACCTACGAAGGTGATCCACTCATAAGGAGGAGTGAATTGATCAATGTCAAGAATGGGAGAAATTGGAATGTCGGAGGATAAGATGGCATATATTCAAGGAGAGGGAGGAGGAGAGGAAAAGCCAAAACTTGGGCAATTTGGAAAAAATAGATGGAATAAAGACGAGTGATCATCATTGAATCATCTATCTCCTTGTCTTCTATGCTTTTATTTCTAAATTTATTTTTCTGGTGAGAAGAGAAGGTAAAGTTGTAATGCAAAGGGGAAAAAATTAATTTTAAATTATTTAAAAGAATGAAAATGGATAATCTTCAAATCATTTGTTTGTTCATCTTTTATGCCTTTATTTTTGAAATTATTTTTCCAAGTGAAAAGTGAGTAGAATGTGAATATGAAGAGATAAAATTTTAATCCCTGAATCATTCATTTCTCCATGCACTACGCTTTTTTTTCCCCTTTATTATTATTTCATTGAGAAGGGAGAGAAAAATAGGGATATGAAGATGTAAAAACTTATGGTTTGAATTTATTTTTTTAAATGTAAGGTTGAGATTTTTGTGTGGAAGTATATAATATAGATGTAAGGTGGAGATTCAATTGGTTGTTTTTATTAATTGCTTAGACAGAAGTGGAAGTAATAATGAGGGCAAGAAGAAGAATATCTTATATTTAGAAAAACTTATATGGAATATAAAAGTTATCTTTAACCGTTATATGTGAGACTAGTAATTAATATTTTTTAATTTATAATTAATCAAAATTTTGAAAAACTAGAATCTTAAATGCCATAGATTTAAAGATAAAATTTAGCAGTGGATTTTAAATTTGAATATAAACTCATTAATCAATAATAATATAATTGATTAATTAATATTCATTCATTAATTAAAAATTTTGCTAATATTGAATAAAAAATAACACGTTGTCATCTGATTGAATATTAAAATAATATAATGACTAAGGTTCGATTCATCAATGTAAGGCTAAGATTCAATATGGGAAGCACATGCTTTTGTTATAATTGTAGCATAGATCTATGATTTGTATACTAATCAGTCAGATTTTATCTTAGACTTATTTTGCAGTGCAGTCTAACTTTTGATGATATTAATGTATCTGTAAATAAAATATTTTACACATAAATAAACCCTTGCATGTAGACCTTATTTTCTCGATTGCAGGAGGCATTCTCAAGTCACTTGTGATTTTATATTATCTTATTATATATTTATTTATAGAATATACGAAGAATATTCCATCTGATAACATCGTGATGTCCTTTTTGAACCTCCTTGAAAATTGATCTGTGAAGTAAAGAAGATTCTTATTACATTTTTGCAATTTTTATTTGTGTTTATGATTTGTGAAAAATCAGTGACTATTTTTTTCTCTTAATCACCCAACGTGGGTGGGAGTTGAATGCCTCACCCCACCCACGCTTTGTGATCTTTGTATGAACCTTTTATTTTTCCTCTTAGTTTGCTGATCATTGTATCTTATAGTGCAGGTTTTCTGTGTACCTGTTTGAATACTTTATCGATGGTAGTTTGTAATTTCCTCGTTTATTCTTTTTGTCTAGGATTCTAAACTTCTTTCAGCTTTGGCGGAAAACTGTAAAAGATCAGTTACATATGCGGGTGCTTTTCTTTTCAAAGATGAGCCTGGAACTGACCCTAGCCTGGTGACTGGTACAGAAATAGGGAAAAATATTTATGATTTCAAGGGTGGTCAAGAATTGTTTGACCGCCTACATGACATTGGTACCCTGGCTCAGGTCTCCCTCCATTTTTTTTCCTTTGTGTTGTAATAAAAATTTTTATTTGTCATATATGAACATAGCTTGTACAACCTTTTTATTTGAAGAGAAAATTATAACTAATTAGTGTAACATGCCATCAACTAGTTAGCTAACAAACTGTATTGCACTTCTTATATAGATAAGTAGTATCCAAGGAAACGAGGTTTACCTTCTTGGTCATCGCCGTTTAAGAAAAACAGAGATGGTTGGTATTTTGAAGAGCTTGGAGTTTCTTTTTTTTTTCTTCTGTTTTATTTTTATTTCCTCAATTGTTTTTCAGCTTGCTGACATGCTTATTATATGCAGGTTGATGAAGAACCTCTTACAGTTAAAGTTGATCACCTGAAGGCATGTTATTCTCTTTAGTCATCCACTGGCTCTCCATCCTCTCTTTACTCCCCCTTTTCTCTCATGCTCTCTTCCTCCTCAATCTATTCCTTTTTCTTTTTTCCTTGTGTATTTTCAGTAAAAATATTATCTGTTTCAGTTTTAAGTATCAGTATAAGATGTAAGATGTTTAATCTTTTCATTTTTAGATGGTTTGTTAGAATGATCTCTCTCTCTCTCCCTCCCTCACACACACACACACACACGCACGCGCACACACTTGCACAAACTCGTTCACACATGGAAGATACTGTCGACTGATTCTGTTATGCATAGAAGGCACTATTAATTGATTGATGAATAAGCGATACAAAAAGAGTGCCACACAAATTAATATGAGATATATTTATTGTTAACTATTTATAATTTTTTTGGCTGTTTTTTTTTTGCCTTAATTAACCTAGTTGCTGTTTGGGATGATATGTTTTCAATTCACCATTTTGGGTGTACCACATTAGTGAATGGTACTTGAAGAATACTATCTCATGTATTGTTTTACTTTCTTAGCTTTTCTCATCAACGAAGCTTCTTATATTGCAGGAAATTCCCTATAACAAAGATGATGATGTGATAAAAGCGACCTATTTTGAAGTTATTTCAACATTAAGAGATGTTTTGAAGATAAGTTCAGTTTGGAGAGAATATGCTAAAACATATTCTCGGGTATGTCGCATGGCTATAATTGGCTTCCTGTTCACTCTTGGCAACCCTTTTTTTTTATTCTGTTTATGACTTAGTGTTTTTGTGGTTGTTACAGAGGTAAAATTGTTATTCAGATAATGAATGTTATCTATCAATTGCAATATACTTTGTTTAAGCATAGTAGAAATTGATAGGTTTGCCCAAAATCTAGATTGCATCAAAATAGGATTTGAATCTCCTTAAAATTTGTTATTTAAACACCTTCATTTGAAATGGTTTTGACTGTTTATATGGGTAGGAAAAAAATATAAAACTGAAAGCAATGACTGTTGGAATGATAATGTTTTTACTGTCTTTTCAAATTTGTCTTACAAAGACTGCTTTTGGGAAAGCATAATAAACCTTATGGTTGGAAAGCTAACTTGAAGCGCCAAAAGCAGAAAAACATAAGCCGGCCTAAATAAAGCATAAGGCTTTGTTTGGTACTACTATACTTTTTTTGCATTATATTTTTGGTAAGAAATTGAGTCACCACTACCCTCAAGGGATGCTCAAGTTGCTCTGCAAGTACATGGCCCTTGTTTGCTAAGCCATGAAAGAGGTTTATGTGGAATCATACTCTTTACACATTTACCAGCCAATCAAAATCTTAAAATGTCTGGTTTTGAAAATAAAATCAGTTAATGCATCACCTAACATGGCTTAAATCTAATATATTCCTGATTCACTGGTTCCAAAATATAGGTTTACATTTTTTTTATGTTGGTATGCTGATCAGAAAAAATCACTCTCAGTTTTTTTGCTATGATTATAACTTTAAAATTTTTGGCGTGCACTTTCAATTTCCTTGGATCTATTTCTTTAGTTGTGAAACTTTATTAATGGTCTCTAAATACCTTCTTAATTCTGTATAAGTGATTATGGTGTTTTATCTGTTGCTATGCTTAGTTAATTTTCTGGTTCACTTGATGAAGCCTCAATTCAGCTGCCGTAGCTGACAAATAGTCTTCTTGGCATTCCCAGTACATTGGTGATTTCACATATGGAAGGCTAGCAGATTTTGGAGCTGCTTTATCTATGGCCAATAAGTTACTTTGCCAGCAAGTGCTTGAAGAACTTGATGTAAGAGCATTTTTCAGTAAATCTGAAATTTTATTTTCATAGTTCTATACTTATTTTTATCTTTATAATTATTCTTTCATTCTTAGTTTCAGATATGAGTTTAGGTGTTGCACTTTATAAGGCTTTGTTGTACAGTCAAAAGAAAAATAGGTTTCCTATCAAACTTACTTTAGATATAAAATTGGGGAGAAGTTAGGGAATCAGCATGGAGAATTTTCTTGTTGTGGTGTGTTGGGCTTGTGGGATGTTGGTGGATTCCAAATTAAATGGAACCTTTATTCTGTTTGCTTTAATGGTTTGATTGGTTTTGTATGGCAAACGGGAAGCGGGATCATTTAGGTTTGATGTACAGGGGGAAAGTGGGAAGTGATTTCTACTGTAAGAAGTAGTATGTATCTTTTAGCCGCATATGTTTTGGAATGGCTCATGAAGTGGGTTGTCAAGCTATGATCTCCAACGCCACCTCCAACTTTAGCAACTACAAATGTTCACATCTCTATTTTGTTGTTTGATTATATTTGATTTCTGACACATTTCTCGAAATCATTGGCTATTGAAAGTGGCCATTTTAATAGGATTTGTGCACTTATTTGTCCAACCATTGTTCCCTTCACCATAGAGACATTCTTTAACACATTTGTTTGTTGAAAGCCTTTTTTCCCCTTATGCTTTCACAGTGATCCTCGTTGCAAGCCTTACCTGTCAAGACCTGACCTGGGGTTTGGAATTAACCTAGACAGGAGTGGACGGTCGGACGGTGGAATTAAATTTTTTGCTATCTATTTCTATCATTGAAAGTTTAATATTCAAATATTCTTGAAAGCGCCACTAAAAAAAATAATTTTATTAACAAGTAGAAATTTTACCTTTCTGGTTGCTGTTCTTGCCTATTGTAAACATTAGCTCCTCTCTCATTCATGTTATTCAAAAGCTTAAAATCTAAAAAAATTCATTAAAACAACATAATGAGTTGTTTAAAGACAACCCAAGAATAATTACACATCTAAACTACTGTAACTCAAGGAAGAGAAAATAATATGCATGTTTATATTTCATATTTCTATAAAAAAATATTATAATAATCTAATGTATGTATCAATAACATTTAGAGTCTGTTTGGGGCAGCTGCAGCTTATCAATAAGTTGCTGTGCAACAACTGTTTATGAAACTTGTTGCACAGAATTTGCTATGGATAAATTGGCTTACTATTTATTTTTTGCAGTTTAAAAATAGTTGTGCGGCAGCTGTTTCTGGACAAATGACCATTTTACAGCTGTGTAGTAATGCTGTTTGTTACAGAACTGTCATAACAATAAATTTGATACTTGAGAAACAAAAATCAACTTCAGAACAACACAGAAAGTAAAATATACTCCTCACTTAATAGTGAGTATCATGATTACTAAAATAAAGAAAAAAACTATTAAAATAATATTTAATAATATAATAAATGAAATACTAATTGAAAAAAATAACACTTACAAATAACGTAAAAAAGCCCAAGTAATCAATATCGAATATACAAAGAACTGAAATAAACAGGAACTGTATAAAATACAAATAAAATTGAATAAGTACAAATAATAAAATACTAAATACTCCAATCACCTCTTACTATTGCACTCGTAATTTGTTCCCTCAACTCTGATATCTAGCTTGCACCTTCCCCGTCCTTAGTACAGGTGGTGGAAACATCATTCTGACAAAGAATGTCCAAGAAGGTACTTAAATGCCTCGGTAGATACATGCTCATGATCCTCGTCTGCCCCACAGAAGTCAATGTCGTTGCGGGAAGGATGCCTCCTAATGTAATTGTGGAGAGCCATCGTGGCAATCACAGTTTTTTACCTGTTTGGGAAACGGGTTAGATGCCATATCCCGGAGTATAACTCATTTCTTTTTCCAAACACCAAAAGTCCTCTTAATGACACCACGTAAGGAGTTATAATTGCAGGTAACATTCCACAGCGTGGATTGAGGCTGCTGACTTGTTGCTTTCTTTTATAGCTAATTTGACATCGTGTTCGGGTTGCAACGTAACTTACTATTTAGTATTTGAATCTAATTTTAAGTTCTATCTACTAATTTTTTATCAGCTATAACGCTTGAGAAATCAAGTGTTCCTTATTGTGTTGCAAGCATAATTCAATCTCTGATTGTTCTCTTAATTGTATATGTTGAGAGGTTTCTGCCCACCAGCAATTTGCATTCTAATTATCAGCTTTCCAACTTATGATTCTTTTCAATTTTAATTATTTTTCTAACTAGGTGCACAAGCGCTTGAAGCTCACACTCGAGTTAATTAAGAAAGAGATCGAGATCAATAAAATACAGGTACTGTTGCTATTGTAAGTTCTGTAAAATATTTTCCCCCTCCCCCAAATTAAACATGTCATAAGATGTTTTGTACTGTTTTATTTTTTATTCAAGGAATCAATTGCAAAAGCCATTGAGGAAAAAATATCTGGTGAGCAGCGGCGCTATCTTCTAAATGAGCAACTAAAAGCAATCAAGAAGGTAGATGCTTATTTCATTTCTTGTGGGAAGCGGCTGTATTTTATTAAATTTTGACTTGTAAGATCAAAGTTACGAGCAATGCCTCTCCTACCATCTGAGTGCATGACGATGGCCATGTTTCTTCATAACTTTTTCTGGGAAAAAAAGGCCAAAGAGGTTTTAGCCTTTTGGTGGGGGCGTGGGGCGACAGTTTCTTTTAAGCTTAGCTTGTTGTTTTGATAATACTTACATTATTATAACTTTATTCCTTTGGTCCAGGAGCTTGGTTTGGAAACTGATGACAAAACTGCACTTTCTTGTGAGTTCACAGATGACAAAACTGCAATTTCTGTTAATAAAATGGCACTTTATGGTTTAATAATACTTATACAGTTTGGCCTAGTGTGTGAAATTCATTCTATAAGTGATGCATTTCCAGGATACGGAAATAACTCATTTTCAATATATTTTGCTTTTGCAGCAAAGTTTAGGGAAAGGATTGATCCAAAAAAGGATAGATTCCCAGCTCATGTATTGCAGGTTATCGAAGAAGAGCTTGCGAAGCTGCAGCTGCTGGAAGCCAGCTCTAGTGAGTTTAATGTTACTCGCAATTATCTTGACTGGCTTACTGCTTTACCTTGGGGAGACTACAGGTTCTACTTACAAGCTTTTGATCTCATAGTAGAGAGTTTTTGTTTTCTTTCAACATATCTAGTAATTCAACGCGATTTGAGTGCAATGACAACTGCAGAAATTTTAACTGGTTTTCAGCCTTCTGATTTTCTTTTGACTCTAAAATATTTAACTTATAAGGGATGCTACTTTTAGTAGATGCCAAAGAGTAGTTTCTTTCTGGAATGCTTTAGTTTTATTTTTCTTTTGTTTTTTATTAAGGATTATACATTTTTTTTTATAGGGCATACATACATAGCACAAAATTGTAATGTATTTACAGATATCACACCTAAACTTTCGTATTTACACACAAAGCACTCAAATCTTTAATATCACGCAAAAAATAGCACTTCGCCACTTTTTAAAAATGAAATACACCTTTTCATGACTAGGCTTAAAGCACCGAAGTGCTATGTATTTAAATATGAAAGTTTAGATGTGAGATATGTAAATTCATAAGAATTGTGTGCTAGTTGTGTAAATTTTTCTTTTGTCATTTATCTAAATTTATGATCTCTCCTTGTGATGTATTATGATTAAATGCAGTTACAAAAATCTTGGACGCACACACGCACACGCACACGCACACGCACACGCACAAGCACAAGCACAAGCACAAGCACACGCACACCCACACCCAGACATGCACACACCACACATCCACACATCCACACATCCACACATGCACCCACACGCACACGCACGAACAAGCGTGCACGCACGCACACGCACGCACACACGCACGCACACGCACGCACACGCACATATGTATATATAAAATTATTTATTTATATATGTACAGTATTAAGAACCATGTCCTCATTGGTAGTACTGCCAGCCACAAACATTTCTTAACATCCATGAAATTATAGAGATATTACACTATAGATGTGACCGGATCATTAGTTGTGAGCTATTTGTCAAAATGATGAGAATCTAACATTATAATGGTAGCCTCAAGCACTCTTCATCACCTTTCGGTGTTGAAGTTGCCCACTTATTACTACTATTCCAAGTTCTTTCTCCTTTTCTATTCCAAATTCTTTTCTTCAGAAGCCGCTCCCTCCTAATTGTTTGCTATCCTTCTTGATAGTGTTGTAAATATAGTTTCATCCAACTACTGTAGTTTGGTGTACTTACGGCTTGAGCTTTGAGGTTGATTAACTAACCAAATTTGAGCTCAAAATAGAGATTAAGTCTACGAGTTTGAGTCGGCTCACGAGCCTACTTATTTATTGTAAAAGAGAAAATTTTATTAATTTAAGTTAGTGTTATAATAAAATAACAAATAGAACGAGCAATTATAAGATAAATAATAAGAAATTATTTGATATAAAATGTAAAATATAAAATATCAAAATTTTTAATGATTTTAATAATTTAAAGATAGTGTTTTAAAATTTAATATAGTTTGAGTGTATTTTATATTTATATGTTTTTAAACGAGCTGGCTCACAAGCTAACGAGTTGAGTCGGAACTGACTTGAGCTTGGCTTGTTAGCTCAACAAGCTCAGCTCAGGAGCCACTTAGCGAGCTGACCTCGAGCCGGCTCATGAGTCAGCTTGGCTCATTTACACCCCTAGTTTTTATGCAGTGTTTTAATGTAATTTATCGTAATCTTACTTTTCTTGTGTTTTGTCGAATGCCTTCATGCAATTTTTTTATGAATGCCCTTTTCAAAATACCAAGTAATGAGAGTTTATAATTTTCATTTTGATTGCAGTGATGAAAACTTTAATGTCCATAATGCACAAAAGATTTTAGATGAGGACCATTATGGCTTATCTGATGTGAAGGAAAGAATTCTGGAATTTATTGCTGTTGGAAATTTAAGAGGAACTTCACATGGTTAGCAAAGATGTACTTCCATAGTTTCTTGAATATATGTAATTTGTTTTCTTTTTTTAATAAATCAACAAAAAAAAATCATCATTTTCATTTTGTACGTGCCACAGATTATATAATTTTTTATTCTGCCTATGTTTAAATATGAAAATTATTGCTCGCATCTCTTTTTCATTGTGCTTCTTGTTATCTTTAAATTATCACATGTTTGAACTATTTATAGTAGGAATTTGCATTATGTATTATTTTCTTCTCATTATTGAAAATATATTTTTCTTTTTATGTTTTTTTCTCATACCTATATTTAAGTACACATTTACTTGAAGACATTTGAGGAAAGATGTAATCCTTTTCAATTCTCTCTCTTCAACATGCTATCAAACCATAGCCTATAATCCTTTCAATTTTCTCTATACACCTTAATGTTGATATGGCATTGAACTTCAAATCCCCATTTGCCTTCTTTAACTATCACATGTGCTCGCTGATGAGAATTAGTCACCAATCAGCCTATTCACATTGTCGACCACTTAGGCATTTTGCCTCTATTTCTGGCAAAATTGGTTGTCATTTGTAATCTATGCATGTTGTTGATGTCTGTGGAAATCTGAGAAGATTCAATTCTTTCCACATTTACCTCTCTCATATGGGCCGACCACAACCTTCAAATCTTGGAGGATTTGATTGGGTTTTCTTAGGAAATCTTTGATTGGTTTATTCCCTTCATATTTGATATTTTTCTATTTTCTATTCTAAATTATTTTCTTTCTTTATATAGATTAGATAAGTTTGATAAGTTTGCAAATAAGGAGAAACTAGTGTGTGTGTGTGTGTGTGTGTGTGTGTGTGTGTGTGTGTGTATATATATATATATATATATATATATATATATATATAAGCCAATCAAGATGGGTCTTGATCCTTTTGTCCTCTGGCTGGCGGAGGAGCTCGAGGTTGCGGTCTGCTTCAAGCCTGCTTGTCTGCTGCGTCGTCTGCGAAGGAGATCGCGTCATCTGCAGTGCTCGCGTCTGCGGCGCTTCGCTCTGTAGGTTTCGTCGTCTGCTTCGAGCTGCTCTTCTGCTATGTCAAAGCCGCTCGACTGTTCCTCCAGTTCTCCTCAAACCTGCTCGTGTCCCGTTCGTCGACGGTAGTCGACAAGCCACCGCCCTCACCAGCGATAATCTCGTCAAACCCTCCGATGCTACAGTGGTACAGTGGTTCACAAATGCAAATGCAACTCCCATTTCCACCTTGCAGATGGTCTGATATTCCCACAAATGTACCATGATTCTGTTGCAGGACATGGAGATTACAATCTCATAAAAAAAGTAAAAAAAAAAGCGGGCAAACCAGCACTATTCTTCTCAGACGCTGAAATTTCAACTCTTGCAGGAAAATACAAATTTTTACTAGTTGAAAAGTTCTAATTAGGTCTCCTTAAGATGGAGATTATTAGGAAGGTTTTTGAAGATTTCAAACTAGTTGGGGCTTGAAAATTGGGTATTTTCGATGGAAGACTTGTTATGATACACCTGAGCATAGAAGAATATTACGTAAAAATTTTCTCAAAGAAATTCATCACAATTGAGGACAATCATATGAAATTACTCAAATGGACCCCTAATTTTGATCCCAGTCAAGAATCCCCAATTGCGCCTATCTGATTCTCATTAACTCAATCTTCAATTCTTTGACCTACCTATCTTATATGTTATATGCAATTGGGACTGTGGGACTGTCCTTGGAAAACCTTTGCAGGTAGACATATCTACAATTCATTTCTAAAGGCTCTCTATTGCAAGGATTTTGATTGAAAGAGATATTGGACTACCGGATGTAGAAGAAGTTTGACTTGACTCTGCCCACAATGGTTATTCATAAAAATCACTATAGAACAAAAACCTTACTACTGCAAGCACTGCAAGATGCTTGGACACCGACAAAAGAAATGTTTCAGATGACACACACAGTTGAGAACCAATAGTCAAAAACAGGAACATGCTGTTAATGCATCCCACGTGCCTGATGAAAACCAATCTGAGGATGGAATCACCAAAAGACAGAAGTTGGTGTCTACCCCTGGGAACCCTTCTCCTGATCAAACTATAAGGGATAATGTTCGGACCGAAAATCAGGATAGCCCCGCAACTCCTATATAGGAAGCATCAAGTGCAGATGTGACAATTCACACTTCTCATACATTGAAACCTATCACTGTGACAACAACCGTCTTTCCTTCTACTACGGTTCTAATATCTAATCAGACCGAGGATCACATGAGCCAATCTTCAGATGAAGAATGACATGTTTGCATTTCTCGGCTAAAGATGAACGTTGGGGGCACACACTCAAACTTGGAAACTTAATGGATGATACTTTGGTTACTCCTGGCAATGACACGACACTTCAAAGTTTGTTACCCGACTCCGCTTCTAAAATTACAGAAAGAGGCAGGACTAAACTGGCTCGTCCCTAGTTACTTGTTTTATGCATGTTTAAATTTTGTGAGTCTATCTGTATCTTTTTGTTGGGGTAGTATTGTACGTGGTATCGTATGGGCAGGGTCTCTTTTGGGCTCTTCTCATACAACCTTTATGTATCCTTTTCTATTTCAATAAAATCAGCTATTGAGCTTTTCTATATATATATATATATATATATATATGTGAATAATAAATTAAGGATTTTTCCTCCCCAAATAAATTCTACATCCCCTTCAAGCGCTAGATGCCTGCTGCAGGCCCGCTTCTCTTTCGCTGCAGGAATTTTCTCCATCTCTTCTGCTGTAGGCCTGCATCTCATCCACCAGAATCTGCACTTCTTCCAGGAGCCAAAATCTGCTCTTTTTTGCGGCAGAACTCTTCCTATTGTACACCAGAAACAAAGCGAAACATATATATGCTTATGAAGCGAAGTGATAAAAAAGGATGTGGTAGCTGCTGTCCAAAGCTTTTTCCTTGGAGCTGACCTGCCTTGATATTTCACAACCACAACTATGATTTTAATTCCAAATGAAAACAGAAAGGATGCATAGCATGACGTCAGACCAATTAGTCTCACAAACACTATTACTAAGATTATTGTTAAAATTCTGGTGGGCAGACTACAACAACTCATGAATAAATTCATTACCTCCCAGTCAGCTTTTGTACAAGGGAGACATATAACTGACAATATTCTGTTGGCACAAGAGATGCTCTTGGACATTGACAAGCCTTGCAGGGATAACAATATAATCCTAAAGTTGGATCTAAAGAAGGCATATGATACAATCAGTTGGGATTTCATACTAAATGAATTGGAAGCTAGAGACTTTAGCAGGGATTTCTGTAATCTCATCAATAGATGACTGACCAATGCTCACTATAACATTCTCATCAATGGGGAATGTCATGGATTCTTCAAAGCTGGGAGAGGCATCAAACAAGTGGATCCTCTCTCTCCAACCATTTTCATCCTGACATTTGATTACTTGTCAAGAATGATTAATCAAGCCCATTAAAACTTTCCCTCACAGATACCAACACAGGTCCAACTATATGGTTAGCCACCTTGCTTATGCTGATGATATCATTGTGTTCACCAATGGTTGCAAACAAGCTGTGAGTAAAACCATGACACTACTAGACAACTTCCAAGATATGGCAGGTATGAGGTTCAACAAAGACAAGTGTCAAATTCTAGTCAACAATAAAATGAGCAATATTGTAAAGAATTGGGTCAAATAATTTACTGGATTCAAAAAGACAGATCTCCCACTTAAGTAGTTGGGCATACAACTCATCAAAGGCAGGAGAAAACAAACACAATATGATGAGGTGATGAATAAGGTGTCAACTCAAATAAACTGTTGGACCAACTCTTTCCTATCCAATGGAGGTAGAATCTCTCTTCTTAGAAGCATTCTCACATCCTTCCCTCTCTATACCTTACCAATGGTGAAGATGAAGAAAAGTACACAAAGAATGCTAGAAACAAATTTCGACAAGCTCCTTTGGAAGGGTCAACACAAACAAATGCACTGATCTAGCTGGAATAAAATTTGCAAACCTTTGGAAGCAGGTGGCCTGAGCTTTAAAAACTTCCAACATATTAGCTATGTTTTTTACTCTAAGTAGTGGATTAAATTTAGAGCTTAGAATTCATTATGGGTCAAATTCATGTGGGGAAAGTACTGCAAGATTCTTATCCTAGCAAGGTTCAACAAAGGCTGGGAGATTCTGAACACTGGAAGAAAATTCTACAAGTAAGACATGCTGAAAATTTCTTCATATGGTATCTGGGAAAGGGTGATATTGATTTCTGGCTTGACACATGGTTGGTGCATGGCAAAATCAGTGACAAACAACAATAGTGCAACAACATGCAACAAATTTTCTGACTTCTGGACTGGCAACAATTGAGATGTGGAACTCCTTAGGCAAGTGGTACACCAGGAAACTATTCATCAAATCCAAGCAATTTCAATAAACCCTGGAAAATCAGACAGAATCATATTAAAAAATCCTACTAGCCAATCTATAAACAAGTTCATTTTCAGATCTACCTTTAGATGGCAAGAGGTGAGCTGGGGCAAATTAATCTGGGATAAAATGTTACACCTTCAATATCTGTTTTCAGCTGGAAGTTGTTTAAAAGGTTCTTACCTACAGATGACATCCTGAAATTGAAGGGGCTGAGAGGTGCTTCAAGATGTCACCTATGCTATTAGGAGGAGGAGAGCCTAAATCATTTATTTATCACTGGACAAACTTCTAGAGCTGTTTGGACTAAAATCCTTGAAGTTCTGAGGTCAAGATCTATGGGTTACAATTGGGTAAGCATGGAAGAATGCTGGAATGACTGGAAGGAGCAACAACAACAATACATCCCTCTTATCATTGCCTGGTTCTTATGAATGGCTAGAAACAAGGCTAAACATTAAAATCTGACTTTATCAGAGGTGGCTATCTTTACCAACTGCATCTCCTATATAACTAGGATCAAGAAAATTTTTCATCAGA